GCACAATGACATCCCCGAATAACTGTGAGGGATTCACGTATCGATTGAATTATGTATGAATCATGTGTGGTTGTTGAAGACTGGATGATAACAAAAATATTTGAAGAAAAGTTCAATAATATTGAACTTGAGGTTTAATTAACTTCATTAAATATCATAATGTCATAACACATTAAATGTTTTTTCATGTTTTATTTCTCTACATATTATCTGTCAACCTCAAACAAATTGGTTATTTCATACACGGACACCCCCATTGTACATGATGCCAATGGTTCAAACTAAATACTGAATGGTCACACAAATGTCAGCTCTCAACATATTGTAAACAGTGCCAGCTTGAATATTCGGATACAGTTTTTGAAAGATTAAAATGGGGGTATCCAAGAGGTCCAGTGACATTGTTTTTTTCATATTTTTGCAACTTTCTAAAGAAATTCTATTCCCCAATGTGGTGTGATATGTGAAATGTTTAATATGGTTTTGCTAATAATTTCTTCAAAATAAAATGGAAGCTTTTTAAACATTGGACATCGCGAATATAGTTAGGCGGGCTACTGTTTTATATCTCCTCGTATATACCACCCCAAATCATCTGAAATTATGTATCTCACTTTACTATCTCCAACACTATTACAACTGATATTATTACGATTTGCAAACTATGTCTACTCACTATGTAACATCAGGAAGCTAAAACAACTAGTTCAACATTTAATTCATCTCTATTATTTAAAATGAATTATCAAGAAAACCCGAATAACAACAACACTCACTTATTCCCTTCTCATCTCTATACATGTACTATGTGCAGCTTAATCTCACACTGTATACTCCACCCTGTAATCTCCATGGAGATAGAAAATCTAAAGAATAGAAAGCCAAAAGAATTCTGGAAATATTTTAAGGGAAAGAATAAGAAGTATGCAGATAACAGCCTAGAAGCAGCTGAATTTCGTAATTATTTTAACGAAATATATAGCGAATTAGGGCAATTCACCAACACAGACATAGAAGAAAAATTGGTGCGCATTTCAATGGAAAATGAACGAACTACAAACCCATGTGAATTAGATAGGGCAATAAGTCAGGAAGAAGTCCAACAAGCTATTCAAAGACTAAAGTCCAGTAAATCAGTAGGACTACATGGCATACTTAATGAAATGTTCAAGTGTGCTAGCGATGTGATTGTGGACCAAATAACCAAGCTATTCAACATAATATTCATTCATTAGCGGGACTTTTCCAAGATGTCGGACACAAGGAGTGATAATCCCTATACATAAGAAAGGACCTACGGATGATGTCAGCAATTATAGAGGAGTTACACTGAACAGCTGCTTCTCCAAACTGTTCACTTCGGTTCTGACAAAATGACTGACAACCTGGGCTGATAGATACCAAGCAATATCCGATGTACAGTTTGGATTCAGGAAAGGTCATTCTACTGTGGATGCGATCTTCGTCTTACAAGCCATTATACAAAAGTTCATAAATACGAAAGAGAAATTGTTTTGTTCATTTGTCGATTTATCCAAAGCCTTTGACAGCGTGTGTAGGAACGATTTACTGTGTAAATTATTTAAACACGGAATAAAAGGCAAAATGTGGGCTATAATAAAATCCATGTACTTTGAAGTTAAAGCATGTGTAAAAGTAAACTGAACCTTTTCCGAATTCATCAGTATTAGAGCTGGAATAAAACAAGGATAAGTTATGTCCCCCTTGCTATTCTCATTTTTCATGGAGGACTTAGAACAGGAACTACAGAATTGCGACAATGATGGAATAATAATAGACTGTATTAATCTATTCCTGATTCTTTTTGCAGACGATATGGTACTTTTGTCTCGGTCACCAAAAGGATTACAGAACCTATTAGATTCACTGCACGAGTATTGCGGCACATGGGGACTGTCTATAAATGCGGGTAAAACTAACATAATGATTTTCGAGAAAGGAAGAAATCATCCACTCCACAACAATGGTCAATTGGAAATAAACAATTAGAAATAATGAAAACTTTCAACTACCTAGGAAACATGATATCATCTAATGGACAAATCAGTGTATGCCAAAGGATTAAAGGCCCTTAATATTCTCTGTGCCAACATACGGTAAAGTGACTTTACACCAAAAAAACAACTGCCAGCTTTTCAATTCTTTTTTATCCAATACAATGAACTATGGATGTGAAGTCTTGGGAGTAACATACGCCAGCGAAATTGAGAGAGTACACCTTAAGTTCTGCAAGAGAATATTAAAAGTCCATTCAAAAGCTACTAACGCAGCAGTCTACGGAGAATTAGAAAGATATCCTCTCTACATAAACAGATTTGTACGGGTTCTGCGGTACTTTTTCAGATTGTTAAATACAAATAGATTGTTAAATACAAAAGTTTTTGGGTTAGCTTTTAAGATTATGATGGAAAATTGTACTAAAGGTGCTAAAAACTGGGCTTCTTTTGTGAAAGATGTACTATATAAACAAGGCTTTGGTTTTGTGTGGCTGAATCCACTGAGTGTAAACTCAAAAGAATTTTGTACTGTATTCAGGCAGCGTTTGGTTGATGAGTTTTTACAAAAATGGAAAAGTGATATTGATAATAGCACTAAACTTGCGATATATTCAAATAATAAGCATAGTTTTTCTATGAACAGTCCCTCGAAGTCTGTCGTGTTACATTACACGTTTAAGAATATCATGTCATAGGTTAAAAATAGAAGTTGGTAGACATTTACATTTAAATAGAGCATTGCGATTATGTGATTTCTGTGTTGAGCAAGGTACCCCAGCAATCGAAGATGAATATCATTTCATTTGTGTATGCCCAAAATATCATGCAAACAGAGAAAATATATTGATCGATTTTATTGGGAATGTCCATCAAGATTCAAATTTTTTCAACTGTTACAATCCTCTAATATGATTTCTCAGTTGTATCTAGCTAAATTCATAAAGCAATGTTTATATTAAGAGCTAATTTTGAAATGTCCTGCCTCCATGCTCCGAATGTAAAATGTATTGTGTAACGATGACGAGGGGCTCTGTGAGCTCAAGTCCTTATGAATAAACTAGCTCTCTCGTCTTGTCTAATCTCTCCTTTGGGTCAGTTCATTATGCCAGGCAGGTAGATGCCGCGTGTTGTTTTAACTTATTGTAAGGGTACTGGGCTGTAGGGGTTGTGGGATGTAGGGGTTTTGGGAGACAACCTACAGCCAGACCCTTATCGGCGTAAACGTCATGGGGTGATATGAGCCTAAATGTCAAAGGCTTAAGCAATCGTGAAAGTAAATCAGTGTGAACCCGGTATTTCACATGGTTGGAATTTTCTGTGTTCTTCTTGTTTCAGTACTGGTAATATGAACATAGAAAAACTGTTCAAATTCATACCATTGATATCTAGATTGATGCTTACGTTTCTAAGACATGAAAAATTTGAAAATTGACAAGTCCTACTGTATATTTCAATGGTGTACCATTCGGTATCCAAATAACGTGCATGTTGTACGTGCGGGATCCTTGAAGAAAATAACAATCTGCCGAAACAATGGATACGAAGCACCCTGGAGGTATGTTCTGGTTTAGCGTTGGTTTGAAAATGTTGATATCAGGGGTTTAAATGTACTCTTACACACATCTGGGATTATCCACTATGGTTTTACCATAAGCAATAATCCGGCAAAATCATGACGGGGACACCATAAACGGGCTTCTCACAGACAAACCATTCCAATAGGAATTATGAGACTGCCACGCACGCACGCACGCACACAGACACAACACCATTCATACAATACATACATACATACATACATACATACATACATACATACATACATACATACATACATACATACATACATACACACACATACACACACACACACATACATACATACTCCCTGCCTGGCGCTCGGCATTAATGGGTACGTCAAGGACTGGTCGGCTCGGAGTCAGTATAATGTGTCTGAGTGGGGTATTCATGCTTCACTGCGGCGTGGTATCTCAGTGGGCTAGCACTATAAAACCAGCTTAAGTCTGGGCTAGTACAAGCAGCCGCACATACACACGCATGCACGTCGTCATATGAGCGAAATATTCTCAAGCACGACGTAAAACCCAATTTCACCTCACTTCACCTCACCACACATCCATACATACATACATACATACATACATACATACATACATACATACATACATACATACATACATACATACATACATACATACATACATACATACATACATACATACATACATACATACATACATACATACATACATACATACATACACACACATACATACATACATACATACATACATACATACATACATACATACATACATACATACATACATACATACATACATACATACATACATACATACATACAATATGGAGGAGCTGACTGATGATAGCATTTGTAGACAAGTGTCAATTCTTTTAATTGAACCCTTGCTTGTACAGGAAGCCAATGCAGTGATGTAAGGACTGATGTATTTAATTTTGTCGACCATATCTGGAATTACAGGGTCGGTTTGACATTCACAGTGGCAGTCTTTAAATAACTTGTGAACTTTAACATTCCCACGATCCGCTAATGTTCAGAAAAAAATGAATAGTCAAACTATGTCTTACTTCAATGAGTATCGTTGTTGCTCAGACAACAAGTACACTGAACCGTCACGGATAATGTGGGTCAAGTTATAAACGAATGCACCTCGAGGCAGAGAAACGCGCGCAAGCGTAATCATATGCTCTCTTTTCCAACGAAGGGTGACAACTGATTTTGTGTCGCATTTCGTTGCTTGGTTAAAGCTTAAACAGTCTTATCTGTGCGGCCGTCATACCCACACAGTCATACACACTATTTCAGGCATAACATTTCTGTTTTCTGTCCCTTATCCTGTGTGGGATATGATTAAACATTACCAGCCTAATCAATACCCTGGACATTGTACCCGTATCAATAATATCGTAATGTGATCAAATATCGCCGTGTCGTTACCTCATACAAACTTACTGCCGTCTAGGTCGAACTCTACCATTGACCCCGAGAGATTAGCCCTAGATTAGTGTTCCTAGTTTCTGTGATTTGTCTCGACGGCGACACACAACAGTGATATGTGGGACTGAGCCGGCCGATCGAATTACACTTCAAGGCCTTTATTTAAAATACCGAAGGCATACTCATTCTTAAACCAAGGTAAGCATGTTTTCAATAATTGAAGACACATATGTCCATGCATGTGTACCTGTCCAAGGGAACCAAAATGAGTGTCATCCCTGGTCAGTAAGCTACACAACAGGCTTTAAATATCGTCGTTGTGTTAGTGATACAAGTAACAACATTGATTTTGAAAAGTATCGATACTACTAGATATAAACATATATACGTTAAAGGGAAAATTAGTGTTATTTATAATAAGAACTTTCTCTGTGGTTATTCGTCTGATTACTGTTTCTTCATGACCTATTCATTGACAAAGCCCACACCTAGTAACTTGACACAGCGATATAGTGCCTAAAAGAGAGGTGGTTCAACGCAGCTATCTACACTGTCAATATTGGGTGTGACCACCATTGGCGTTGATTACAGCGAGACAGTGTCGGCAAATTGAGCACACCAGGTGATTGAAAAATGCCTGGCTGATGTTGTATATGTCAACCAACGATTTGCCCAGCTGAGCGTTAAATGCTGATCCTGGGCCTGTCGTACACGTCGTAGATCTCATTCCAGACATGTTTCAGTGGTGGAGAGGTCTACAGTGTGCATCAATGAATGCGTTCCTGATGATGCTGTGGACGCAAAATTTGGCGAATCGCCGGACTTGTCCACCGGTTGCGTATATGTTCTGCCTATAATTGGTCTCACTCAAGGGATTGTCCGAACTGTCAGTTCCCTCAGCTTAGTACCGATTCCCTGAATGTATCAACCGAATATGGATGTCGTGACGTTGTACATGGACGAGCGGTTCATGGCACTGTGTGATACTCTTCTGAGAGATCAAGTATTCAAATTATCTCACAGTGTGTTGGCTGGGTGGTATGGGAGGCAGCTCGCATTCACTCTAGAACAGGGTGCTGGGGTAGCCTAGTAGTTAAAGCGTTCGCTCGTCACGCTGAAAGCCCGGGTTCGATTCCCCACATTGCTGGAATATTGCCAAAAGCGGCGTAAAACATAACTCGCTCACACGCTCACTCACGGGTGACATTCCTTTGCATTCTCTTGTAATCCTGGAATTAATTTGAGCACATTCCCTTCAAATCGCCTTGAATTATCGTTACATTGATCGTCATAATCGAAGAACGATAAGTGAAAACACGTTGCAAACATCTTTCGGTCAGTTGATACTGTGATTGTCAAGGCTGGTAGTGAGTGAGTTGAGTTTAGTCTTACGCCGCAATATTCCAGCAATATCACGGCGGAGAACACCAGAAATCGGCTTCACATATTGTACCCACTTGGGGAATCGAACCCGGGTCTAAGGCGTGACGAGCGAACGCTTTAACCACTAGGCTACCCCACCGCCCCCGTCAAGGCTGATAACCTTTGAGAAAACATTTTCAACATTCCATTCATCATACGGTCGATATCTTGTGTCGTGTCGCAGCTAAGAAACAGAGATAGGCTTATCAACGTAGTTCTATGTATATATGTTCGAGACTCTTGTGGAATGGGTTTTAAATTGCCATAATGTCGTTAGTCAAACTGAACGTCAACTCAATCAATCTTTATTCAATCAATCAATCTTTATTTCATACTGAAAGGCCACAGGCCTGTAGTACATTGATTAATCATGTGCGGGTAGTAGAAACATTCTTTCTGAGAATAAAATCTATAGCCCGTTTTTATATTGTATCGTCTTCGTAAATAAAATAGTTTTACATGTTCATGCTAGTGTTAGACTCCATCTGTGATACTCTAGTTATTTTACAGTCCTTCGATGACTGATTATTTAGCAACTTTAATTTATTGTTTATGTAAAACATTTCTTGTCACTATATGGCTGAAATATTGCCGAGGTGACGTTAAATTCTAAATCACTCACTCACTCCGAGAATAAAAGCTTTGTGAATATATATGGACAATCTTTCTAAATGTGTTTTACTGGAGTTATTCATCAATGACATAAACTTATGAGTTTCAGGATGTACATAATAATATTTCTTTATATATCTATTTCTTAACGATAAGTATGCTGGCAAACACATAAAAAGTGAAATTCATCTTCGACCCCGTGTAAGTTGCACATTTGACAGATTTTACTTTCTTTCTTAATTCCTTGGTATCTCCCAGTTTCAACATATAAATCATGCGCGGAGCAGCGGAATCTCACCAGTGAAGATTTATGTTTCCTTATGGTCAGAACTGAACAGACAGAATGAGAATGAGATTCTACAAATTGTTCATGCCAGGCATTGCCGAAGCCGATAGATGATAATAAGTGTTTTATGTCTGTTACCCAATTACGTTTTCCATGGCTATCATATAGTATCATCATATCATATCATAACATTTTCTTGGCAATCTGTATGACGACATTGTTAATGATTTAAACCAATATCTAATAATTTTTACATTTGATTCTATGTACAATGGATATCTTTCACATTCTCCGTAAACTATACAAGTTGACGTGGCTGTTTTTACGCCCAGAAATGTCTTGCATGCATACGAATGGACTTTTTCTATAACATCAAAAGTTTTAAAGCCCCATACTTCTGCACCATATAACAAAATTGGAATTTAATTTTGGCGTCAAATATTTTGAAAAAAGACTTGTAAGACAAGTCGCCTAAAATATGTATATATTTTGTTATACCTATTAAAATTTTCTTTGCTTGTATAGCTGCCTGTGATGTGTGTACTGTCCATGAAAGATGATTGGTAAAATGCACACCTAATAAGTATTTATACGAAGTGGTTGTTTCCAGTCTATTTCCCTTGAAGAACCATTTTTCATTATTGGCTAGTTTACCTCCATTTTTAAAATGAGTGTTTAACTCCATTTTTAATATGAGTATTTAAAAAATTCAGAGATGGTAGAGTCTATACTAGAAGATTTATTAGCTCTTAAGTTTGTGATACTATGAAGTATTTCCTCCTTAGTAATTGGGAGTCAAGAATATCTTCTACGAAGCTTGAACTAAAATCAGAACGATCAGAATTATTCACTTCTGTGTCAGACTGGTCACGTGATTCACTGTCATTATCCGAGTCGTAGAACAGGTCACTGAAATGGCTGTACCAATCTTCAATTTGTATATTATTCCTCGAATGCGCTTGTCCGTTTATTTTTTTTTCAGCATAGACCAAAATGTTTTGAATCAGCTATGCAAAGACCTTCAGTTATCAAATGAACACTTCTATCGATATCAGTAAATGCTGAATCCAGAGACTCACTAAGTAGTCCTTGTACATTGTCTGAAAGAATATTTTGTCTAAAGTGATTATTAAACTGAACAATTGCTCGATACTCCAATGCACCGTTTCAAACACAGTCCTATCTCATATCTATTGAAGGGTTGCAAGAATACTGCTGAACTAAACATATATTTATATAAGCGCAGCTCCTTCAGTATAGTACTTTATATCGTTCATAGACTGTTCTTCTCTTGCGTGCTGATGAACCAGCCATTTGTCACTTAAACCGACAAATATTCGCCTATATCAACCATCATTTAGTAGTGTCGCCATATGGCTGGAATATTGCTGAATGCGGCGTAAAACTAAACTCACTCACTCGCTCACTCATTTCGTAGTACCAAGTTTCAAGTTAAAACACACCAAGACGGCTTAAACCTTGGGGTCAGTTTATGACGCCAGAATGAGCCGTAGACGTTATTGTACTTTAACATAAAGTATTTTCCGAATGACCTCTTTGCGTTTTGTCCATCGTCAAAACTAAAGGCTATTATATATATATATACACGCAGGTTTCATCATCGGAAACGGACCGTCTAGATGCCTGTGCGACCCCGGACCAGTTACCGTGCCTCCTACCCTGGGCATGATGTTCGAAACAGTTCCTATAGAACCCCTCGCCCTGTACCCAGAGTCAAACCTGAGGCTCACTCAAATTACACCCGGGGCTGGGGTGTGGTCAAGGCATGGGCTTTTGGAAAAGGAATTGCAGGATACTCTTCTCCCAGGCCGAAACCTCGCTGTCCCACGTCAGCTTCAAGAGGCAACTGCCACCTCGGACGTAATGGTAAGGTGGCCCCTCTTCTTAACGGCACTGCAACACCAAGGTCCATTTCAGCACCTCCTAGAATAAAGTCGGAGGCACAGGGCATTGCTTCAGTCAGCAGAGGCAAAAGGATGAAGGTTATTGTCCATGAGTATGGGGAGCACGGACCTACGCCTAGAGTTCCAAGGGTCAAGCCAGAAGCTGAGGAAACTGCAACAGTTCACAAAGGCGGAAGGATGTATAATCTTGTTCACAAGTATGCCATGATGCCTTCATCGTCTCGAGCTGTTCCTCGCGTCAAACCCGAAGCAGAAGGAATAGCTGAAGTGAGTAAGGGTAAGCGGATGAATAATATCATCCATAAGTATGGCAATAATGAAAGGACACCAAGGAGACCTGTACGTGTAAAACCTGAAGCAGAACAATCAGCAGAACTCGATAAAGGAAAGCGAATGGAAAGACTGATTCACAGCTATGGGCGTATGCCCCTCTCGTCGCGTCCAGTTCCGCGGGTCAAGCCGGAGGCTGAGATGAGTGCAGGTATAGCCCAGGGTGGGAGGATGTCCAGACTCATGCATGACCCCCGGAGCTGCCCTATCACACCACGCCCAGTTCCAAGGGTGACTACTGCTGAGGCAGATAACATTCTAAGGAAGAGCTATGGTCAGATGGGAAGAATTCTTCGAAATCATGGTCAGCGATCATACATATTTGTTCCTGGGCAACAGAGGAAGTCATTCGAGCAGGCAAGGACTATGTAGGTACGGACTAGTGACCGGATAGTGTTGTGTGTTCGTAGTCCGCGCTCGATGCCAATACTGATATTGTCTCATAAATTTGGAACCCATTTTATTCAAATGCCGAAACAGTATTATTTTCAGATTTGTTGTTCGGGTTGAATAAACTGAAGCGCCATATATCTGTTCATAGCAGATGCCTCGTTATTTCGATGAGTCGGTGGTTTGGTTGGTTGACTCAGCAATTTTCCAGCTATATGGCAAATAATCGAGTCTAGACCAGACAATCCAGTGATCAACATCATGATCATCGTTCAACGCATTTGGGATACGATGATATGTGTCAACCAAGACAGCAAGTCTGACCACCCGATCCCGTCTTACGACATACATGGGTTACTAAAGACAAATAAATAAATACGGCCCCACTTCTAACCCGGATCTGGTTATATAACAGATTCACACAGATTATAAGCCAGGTGGGTTCTCGTATCGTAAATAACACAATCCTATTAGGAATGATAATTGTATTATCCGAGCCTTTGGTAAGCTCAGTGAGTTCTTTCCATTCCTTACCGTCGCATCCCAATCGCGTGGATCGATGCTCATGCTGGTCACTGGATTGAATGATCCAGACTCGATTATTTACAGACCGCCGCCATAGAGTGAGTGAGTGAGTGAGTTTAGTTGCATGCAAGACAACCCAAACCTTCAAGAGCTGAAATATTGCTGAGTGCGGAGTAAAACGAAACTCACTCATTCACTCAATCTTTCCATTACTAATGTATTCTTATCACGAAGCTGTGTGGTAGCGGAGTTGTTAATGCGTTCGCCCGCTGGAATGTTGTTAAAAGCGGTGGGATACCTCATAAATTCTTATTGCGATATGGAAACACAAAAGGGTAATAATCCCTTTATCATACAGTGTCAATCTCAAAGTTCAAGATATATTACATTCAACCTTACAAACAGCGTGGGGATACAACGCCTAGGTGAACCATCCCTTTAACTACATGTTGAGCCGACACCTTTGTTTGCACAAGCATGCACAGGTCGGGAAACGTGATTTAACATATGAGAAACGTTATCCAGTTGCAAGTCGAGATCGCTTCTTTGAAATTAGTTCGTTGTTATTGCCTCATTTGCAAATTTATCGGATCGTTATTTACCCAGTGTACAGGATTTGTTTGTCTATCCGATAACGCTGTCAGTGATATGAATAAATCATGTTGGTCGGCTGGTAGGTTGTCTAACGCCTGTTTTGGCTGATTTTATATGTTTGGTTATGAGGGTATTATGCGTTGCGATATTTGGGTTGGAAGTGTTTTATTTAATTCTTTTAGCATGCGCTTGACTGATTGATTTATTGATTGTTTGTTGTTTAACGCCGCCCATTTTTATCAAATACCGAAACAGTATTATTTTCAGATTTTGTTGTTCAGGGTGAATAAACTGAAGCGCCATATGTCTGTTCATGGCAGATGCCTCGTTATTTCAAAGAGTCACTGGTTTGGTTGGTTGGTTTGTTGTTTAAAGCCGCACTCAGCAATAGTCCAGCTCTTTTGCGGCGGTTTGTAAATAATCGAGTCTGGACCATACAATCCAGTGATCAACAGCATGAGCACTGCTCTACGCGATTGGGATGCGGTGATGTATTACTCGCCAGTGTAAGATACTGCAGTGTAATATTTTACGGCAGTATTACACTATATAAGTTGTATGCTTCTCGCGAGGGTAATACGGTCTGATGTACGCCTCTTTGTAGCAGTGTCACCCGAGCCGAATATTACACTGCAGTATATCAGGCGTACATCAAAGAAGCATACAACGTATTTATCTTACCGCCATGTTAAATGTACAAAATATCATTTTATTTTATGTTAAAGATCGCTACCGACTATATGACATACAAAGAAAATGGCGTCTGCCTCTCGACTGGATTTTTAACATCAGTGAAACATATTCTGACAAGCATAAAACTGCTTTAAAAAATGTTACTTATGTGCAAACCACTCAATGTATAAAATAGCTTAAATAAAGCAGTGAAAGTCGGTAAAATAAATCTGTACATAGTGAACACAAAAACAGCTGATGGAACGGTTTTCGAACACCGGGCACGGCATGCGTCATATTATGACGTCATACGATTGTTAGCGCTTCAGCTTCTCGGCGGAGAGCTTGGCAGTTACCGTGGCAGCGGGTAATATTTTTTCCAGTTGTCACCCTCCTGGGAAACTTGTTAAACCGTCATTGACCAATGAAATTAAAGCATTTTACATGAAGGTAAAATAAGTGTAATACCGCTAAACGTATGACGTCATAATGGTTACAGTTATGACGTCACAATGCTAATACCTCTGTCACAATGTTATTAGACCTTACTTGACTCGCGGAAAGATCCATCACACTCTAGACAGTTTCTATCAATTTATGTTGGAGAGTAATAAACAGAATACTGAACTCGCTTCCGTGAAATACCATTTTTATTAAACTCGTGAATGATTTAGTATCAAACTCGCTTTCGCTCGTTGATACCAAATCATTAACTCGTTTAATAAAAATGGTATTACACTGAAGGTCGTTCAGTGTCCTCTATATGTGTCAACCAAGTCAGCGAGTCTGACCACCCGATCCCGTTAGTCGCCTCTAACGACAAACATGGTTTACTGAAGACCAGTCCTAACCCGGATCTTCACGGGTCCAAATATACCATGGATAACACTGGTCATGACGAGCTGAACTGCACTCTCAGAGCTTGTTTTCATACAGAGTCCCGTTTTCAGAAACACAAAACGCAATGTCAACGTTCGCTCGTGCCAGATTTCTTTGACAGAATGTATCACCGGCAGATCAGAGAAACAGACTTTACACTATGATGGCACAGAACGAAAACTGTCGCTGGTCCGTATACCAGTGAGACAGCTATAGGTTCAAATATGACATGCGTCTTGCTTAGCCTGTAAGCATTTCTTCCATCCATTTATTGACGCGATGCTCGTGAGAGATGTTTTTTCTGGAAGGAGGCCACCGGACCATTATACAAGTGCAGTACAGGCTTATTACAGTGATGTGGAACGGCAAGGTTGTTACAAGTTGGATTTAAATAATCGAACACACGTTTTCATGCCAAGAAATACAAATCGTGCAAGACTGTTAATGACGTCGATGTCTGTAGATGATAATAAATGAATAAACTTATCAAATGATTGATAGGTTGTGTAATATGCTGGTGAAACGGAGTTTCTAAGTGTTTCATAAACTGGACAGACCATGCAAAGGTGGTATTCCATCATGTCTGTCGATCAATGACTATACATCTTACGTTGGACAGAGATATACATTCCTGGCTGCATGTGACATTCTGATTGATCCACACGTAACCAAAACCATAACTAAATAGAAGCCTCTTAACTTGGAGTGCCCAACAGCTAAGTCCCTTCTCAGCAAGTGATTGGTCATTACATTATCCACCAGCTTCATCGCACGAACCCAACATTTATAATCTTAACAAACAGATTAACTTCTAATGAATGACGACCTAACTCACCTCTAGCGACAAGATTCGGAGTGAATTTTCCCAGATGTAAGACTTATTTACAAAAAAATCATGAACACGTGATATGCATAGTGATGGATGAAACCCCCAGATCTCCGCACCGTACAATATCTTAACATAAAAAATATGATAGAGAATATTGTATGGCAAATAAGCAAAGCATTGATTATTTTATTTATTAAGTTATGAACACTAGACCTGACGATACGAAGAGCTTCAAGGATTTGCTGAGACAGTGTCTGCTGGGCGACTGACCAGGGTCCTGTGTTGGAGAAATGAACACCTAGATACTTATAGCTGGAGACAATCTACATCTTGCAGCCGTTAAAATATAACTTCTCATACTTTCTCAACCTTCCGGCCTTCCTGAAAACCAATGAAGTTTCAGTTGCCATTTATTACAATATTCACCTAGTTTATGTAACCTCTGTAACCAAATGACATGTTTCCGTTATCACCATGTCGTCTGCAAATAACATGAATATCTGCAAAATACCTACTAGTATTTCAATAGATTTATTGCTACTATTTCCGATGAAATCAATAATTCATTTACATAAAATGAAAATAATAACGGGGACATCTGACACCCTTGCTTACACACCAAAGAGACAATCAAAGAAATCAGTGAGTACATCGTTTAAAGAGACGCCAGACCTAACAGTGCTGTACATGTTCTGTATCAACCTAAATGCCCTACCCTTGATGTCGAACGCTGCCTTTATGTTAATGAAAGCGCAATACACCCGTCCTTTATGTAGAGATAAATATTTAATTACGATTGTTTCCAATACAAATATGTTGTCACATGTTTGGACAACTCTCCGAAACCCAGCCTGCTCTGGAACAAGCAGTGCGTTCTCCTCAGCCCACGCTGATTACAAATAACTTTGGAGAATATATATTTTACCAGCTACATCTAACAAGGTAATAGGTCTACAGTTAGAGGAAGAGCTTCTATCACGTTTTTTGTGCAAGGGGATAATAACACCTACAGTCCACGCCTGTTGACAAAATGGCATTAAACAAAACTCTCAGGTGCTCAATACATTGTCTAGGTGCATATTTGAAGAACTCTACCAATACCCCCATTGAAACCAGGAGTTTTCCCCTGCATATCTGAAATAGCAATAAGTATATCTTCAAATGATATACCTTTGTCTAGGTTGTCCATATTCATATGATAGGTAATTTCAATCAAATTACCATCTATTGAGTGAACACATCTTTCAACAAAATTATAGAAGTCAAGTTCTTCTTGAAACATATTAAGTCCATTAAAAAGATCCTTGAAATCTGATATCCAGTCACTCGGGGAGATATCATTATTAACAAAAGGTGACCAATTTCTTACATGTGACCTAAAAAGTTTATGGTTTTTATTCATAAATGGATCCTGCAATATAAGTATCTGAGCTGTACCAGCTGAGGACTGTCTACTTTGACACAGGTGTTTATACTCCTTCCATGCCTCAGTGTAGCGCAGTCGGTCGTCGGCACAGTTTGTTGCATGAAAAGCACGAAGTTTCCACCGGGCAGCTGCACGTGTGGAACCATGTTCTGACTGGTATGACCACGTGACATTTGTTTACAAACAAACTGGATCTTGAAGTCGCGTGCACAGGACAACAATACATTGTAGAATGATTGACAAGCTTCATTAATATGGCCATTGTCTACGAGGGTCGATCAAAAAGTAC